TCCTCTAGCAGTGGCGGGTTGGACTCACGGGCGAAGAGGCCGGACTACAAATCTCGATGCTTAAAATCTGAGAACAGAGGGGGGTCGGCCAAGGAAAGAAACTCGAAGAAGGCTTACCAGTTCGATGAAACCCGCGTCCGGCCACATCACGGGATGCATCAGGACCAGGTACACCAGGGTGAGATCCATCAACAGATCCACCGGACACTCCATCACCTCCTTGATGCATTGTGTCGTTTCACCGACGCTGAGGGCCTCACCGGCAACCATCACCATCCCTTTAGACGTGGAATCCGGCATCGTCTTGTACATCGGAAGAGCGCGCGCCATCAGCGGCGCCAGCCTCCTGACGTGGTACGCTTCAACGACACTGGTCCCACGAAGACTGCAGCCCCTTAGAGTTGCGATGGCTTTGAGAAGGTCGCCAAGCCTCTTCTGCTCCTTCGTGATGGGCCCGTACGTCCATGCGTCCGACGCCTCCTTGATCAGGCGACCGATGAAGATCGGCAGGGGCGGCGTCATTGTTCCTCAGGTAGAACCAGAGCTTATGCCACCCCTTGTTGGACTTCGACAGCATGATGGACATGTACTTTGATGACCGGTTGCCTCGAAGATGGATGCTCGCACATCCCATCGGCACCGCTAGGTCCGGCTTCTTCCTTTCCTTCTTCTTCTATAGCTCGACGGTGAAGAAGTACTTCCACAGCTCGAAGTGGGGCTTGATCCGCAGATACCCCTCGCACAGCATGACGAAGGCTGAGATCTGTTGAATCCCGTTAGGATTCAAGTGCTTCAGCTCAAGCCCGCAGTAGTGTAGCAGCCCTCGGAGGAATCGGTGGGGAGGAGTCATGAACCCCCGCTTGTGGAAGGGGACAAAGGAAACGATGTACTCATTGGGTGGCAACGGCGCATCCTCACCACTAGGTACAATACACTCCATCATCGCGGTCCTTGTGTGGAGAAGGCCCTTCTTAACTGACCCTCCATGCGCACGTGGAGAACACCAGAGCGAAGCCACGGCTCCATCGAGGAATGGGGATGGCGATGTAGAAGATCCGACAGAGGCGTAGGGCTGGAGAGCGAGAACTTCACCGGCGGCGGAGCAAAAACTAGGGAGCAATGGCCGGAACTTGAGAGCGAAAGGCAGAAAGACTGGAGGGGCAAGGATGCGGCTGCGCTTACGAAGGCTGGGGAGAAACGGCTCCGTTTATAAGGTAAGGGCGAAACGGGCGACTGGCGAACCATCCACCTAAATTAACGTGCCCCACGCCTCGCCATATCCGTTTTGTTCAGGGGTCGTGCCCTCACTGTTTCACGCCGCATCAACCGCATCACTGCCTTGAGAGACGAGCGCACACCTATCCAAATCTTCCCCGCGAAGGATCCGTCGAGCGACGGTTCACCTTCAAAGGCTATGGGCCACCGCAGGTAAGTGGGATATGGAGCTGAAAACGCTCCCACGGCCCGTTAATGCCCAGGAGTTCGAAGGCTGGCCCACCAATGGGTTCACGGCCGCTCTAGGGCACCCTAAAGTGAGGGGAGGTTAAGGACTGGCCCGCTAGCGGCCAATACTCGAGGCGCACGAAGCACCACGGGCGTCCCGACCCTCGTTTTGAGTCTTGGATGATGCAAGGTCCATGTTTTCCCCAAAGAAAGGCATCAAGCCCTCGGACCGACCAAACGGATCTGAGAACTATATGGATCGGCCACCGAGAATCTGGAGTCAGTCACCAGCTGATCTCGAACCGGGCCCCTGCAAAGGGGATGCTGGGGCTCCACTTGAACAAGCCCGTTAACAACTCACCGAGCATCGTGCTCCGTCCAGCGAGGAAAGCACGGCACGACTTAGCCCCCCTCGTTCTAGCAAATGGATGCGTGAGGGATAACGATCACAAGATGAACCGACCCCCCGACCGGACCCTTGCTACGCATGGGGGCTCAGGGGCTTGGCATCGCAAAGAGACCGAACACGCGGTCGCAAACAAATGACGAGTCACCTCCAGTTGCGAAACCACGGATGGACTGCAAAGCGACAGTAACAAATAGTACTCCCGTGCGCCCTCAAACGACGGATCGCAAAAAGCCTTTGCAGGAGTGTCTCACTCCTCCAAAGGCTCAGGGGCTACTATCGGATATCTATACCCGGGTATCCGAGCCAAAGGGTTAATGAGAGTCACATGGGCTCATCTGATAGTTAAGGACGCAACTGCGGCCTTGTCCGATCCCAAGGGCCGGGCCATGCCTCGTCCAACACCGAGGACAAGGTTTCCTCCTCGTCCGACCCCCAGGGGCCGGGCCATGCCTCGTCTGACTTCGAGGATGAGGTTTCCGCCTCGTCCGACCCCCAGGTGTTGGGCCACGCCTCGTCCCACTTTGAGGATGAAGTTTCCGCCTTGTCCGACCCCCAGGGGCCGGGCCACGCCTCGTCCGACTCTGAGGACGAGGTTTTCGCCTCGTCCGACTCCAAGGCGTGGGCTCCGACTTCGAGGACGAGGTTCCTACCTCGTCTGACTCCGAGGACGAGGTTTCCGCCTTGTCCGACCCCAAGGCGTGGGCTCCGACTCCGAGGATGAGGTTTTTGCCTCGTTCGACTCCAAGGATGAGGTTTCCACCTCGCCCGTCGTCTGAGGGCTGGCTCCGCTTCGCCTAACCTCTGAGGGCGGGCTCTGCCTCGCGTCGATGTCTGAGGCTGGCTCTGCCTCGCCTGACCTCTGAGGGTGGGCTTCGCCTCACCCGATGCCTGAGGGAGGGCTCCGCCCCTCGGTTTTGGGCTCTGCCTCGCCCGACACCAAGGCCGTGGGCTCCGTCTCGCACGACCCCTCATGCGCGACTCCCGACTGAAGCCCATGCTATCGCCAACCACTACGGGCCCAAAAGTATGACCCAAGGTCAAACTTTTCGGCACCGTGCAGGGAGCGGTCATGTCTCAACATGACCCGTCCCCGCGACATGTCATTCCAGGGAACTCACATCGTCGACAGTGACGGACGTATGATCACTATGCTGTCTACTCCCTATACGGCCGCTGATCAGTACGCTGGTTCGCCGCGCCGCCCGCCGGAGCGTAGTGGGACGTCACGAGCCGCTGATAACGCCAGGGCATGGCATCATCGTCGGACAGGCGCCTGGCGTGGAGCCGTCCCTGTCACCACCTGCAATGCCGGTGGGACCCGCACGAAGGAAAAAGAAAGGCCCGACAACCATGAAGAACTTTATCTCCCTCGGGATCTCCTCTCTTCATCCGCTGTAACCCGTGCTTTCCCTTGGCCTATAAAAGAGAAAGCAGGGCACCCCACTAAGGGGATCGAATCCACGAGCATCGCAACACATCACACTCGAACCTCGAACACATAGCTGAGCAGCAATCGAGCTCTCGGCACCCGTTCGCTCCTCTCACCAGAGACTTGGGACCTGTCACTCTCTCGACCGTTTGTAACCCCTGCTACAAACTTTAAGTGCTAGTAACACGAGCAGCAGCATCGAACTGGACGTAAAGACATTCTGCCCGAACCAGTATAAACCTCGTGTCGTCTTAGCACACCATCTGAGCCAGACGCGCAATGTTAGAAATTTACTTGTTGGTGTTTACTCGAAACACCGACACTTATCCCACAATATTTTGCTGCAAATATGTCCAACAAATTTGCCAAAATTCTAACCCTTAAGTAGATACAACCATCAGTTAATTAATAAGTAATATCAACGACAAAGCTGGTCATTGTCCAGCAAAACTATAGTTTGTACACTGGATTGATTATTGTCTTTGTCTCCACTAAAAAATAATGCAGGATCTATTGAATTAGTATCATAGGGCTTGTATTAGTGCTAGATGCAAACAGGGACAAATAATACATCACCCGTAGATTCCCCGAAGCTGCACACCATTCATTCTTAATCTATTCTTTTTTAGTGTATTTTTATCACACATCTTTTTTTATGCCTAACTCACTAATGGGAGTGGTTGAGATTATATTCAACTTGAATTTTAATTTTCTACCAATTTGTTTTTAGTAAAGAAACGCCTATTTTCTCCTGGATTATGTCACTTCTATGAATTTATTTGTTTCATCCTCTTGTATCTTCTTCCACTGTATAAAGTAAACGTCCATTTTTTTTCATTTGCTGTGGTACTTATCTTTTCTGTGGCGAAAGGTAGGATGTTTTTGAAGGGTAACATGCAAAGCAAGGTTCTTTAGGAATCAGTCCATTATTACTACGAAAAGTCTAACCAAATTCGCACATTGAGTTTAACATTAAAATCCAATTCGAAAAATAATAGGTCATCCATAGGGTCTCCATTGATTTTGAGCTTTTGACTAACAATAATAGTGACGATTGTACTATATATATAGGTTCCTTTACGGTATCTGTAAAAAGTTTTCGGCTGGCAACTGTTGAAGACAGAGGAGATATGTGTTGTCTTTTAATTTTTTTTCAAGCGTGAATTTGTTAGCTGGACACGGAACAATGATGAGGTTCTAAGTTCAGGCAATGGTGGAAACCAGGTTCTTGATTTTCTTACCATGTGGTTCAAGAGAAAGATGAAGATAATAAGGTTCCTAAATTTATTTGAGGAGATTAGTGGAATGTGGCTGGTTATAGAATTTGATGAAAATGTGGTGAGCTACTTGCTGGTGGCTACTGAGACCGACGACGAATTGAAGGAAGAAGCAAGGAAGCTGCCCGACTTACGGTACTTTGGGTTTGTCCATTGTCCTGCTACTCTTATCATTATCAGGCCGCCCGACGACGACCCGTGTGAGCGCCACCATTCTGCTAGCTGACCAGTGAAATCAAGGAATGGCGGCTTCGACGTAGGTCATACACATAACTGCCTCCGATCCACATCCACACTCCAGGTCCAGGACATCAAGCATCGGGGGACCAGGGACAGGGAGGCTATAAATCCCCCGTGCCTTGTCTCTCTCACCGCCGGCTAGCATCTTCTTCGGTCTCTCCTGGTCTCCTAGTTAGTAGCTCGTCGAACACATCAGCTCGATATGGAACGGCAGGATTACCCCTCCTACTGTTACCCTGCCACTGCCATCGACACGAACGACGACAGCGACATGCTACTGCAGCTTGAAGCCTTCCTCCTCGGCACCGATGCCGAGCCCGCGCCCGCCGCCGAGGTGGTGTCCTTCGACTGGTCGTCTTCCGCCCCAACTTGCCCAGAAGTGGGAGCGGTAACGAAAACCACCGCGAACACTGGCGACAATCAGCTTCGGGTCCCGGGTACGGATGCCTCCCGCCGCTGCAAGAAGCGGCAGGCCTTGATCGGGGTACGCAAGCGGCCGTGGGGCAAGTTCGCGGCCGAGATCCGCGACTCCACGCGCAAGGGCGCCCGCGTGTGGCTCGGCACCTTCGACACCCCCGAGGCGGCCGCGCTGGCCTACGACCAGGCCGCCTTCTCCGCGCGCGGCGCCGCCGCCGTCCTCAACTTCCCCGTCGAGCGCGTGATGGAGTCGCTCGGGGCGCTCCAGCTCCAGCTCCCCAGCACAGGAGGTGGTTCACCTGTCCTCGCGCTCAAGCGGCGGCACTCCAAGCGGACGCGAAGGCGCAAGGTCGTCGTCTCACCTGTCATCGACGTCAGCAATAGTACTACTACCAAGGCACGGTTGCAGCAGCCGGTGCTGCAGCAATGCTCCGACGCGTCCAGCTCCAGTATGGCTGTGGCTAGTGTGCAGCTGCAGCAGACGGTGGTGCCCAGCCAGTGCCACTGCGGCGTTGTCGAGCTGGAGGACGTTGGGGACGATTACATGCAGGAGCTCCTCCGGATATCATCCGAGTTGGATCTCTACCACATATAAAATGCACCGATTAAACTTCTCTACAACCACACAAAAAATTATTCACTACGGTCATAAACTCTGCTAAATAAACCAAAGAATGCACCCAATAAAACTTTTGAAATGAAAAGACGAGATTGAATGTGTACGTCCCTTTCTCTTGCTCACTCATATTCAACGGACCAAATCGGGTCAGTCCGCATCAGTCGTCCCACCTCACGCTCACCCAGCGCACGACTCAGAACCCCCTCGGCGGCCAGGGTTCGATTCCTCCGCTCTTTTTTCCCGTCTCTTCAGCGCTCTTTTTTTCATCTTCTGTCCGGCGCGCCTCCCAGGTCCTCCTCTCCCCTACGCACCGGGGCGGCGGCCAGGAGGGCGGGCGACGCCTCCTCTGCCCCCCAATCGACGCGCCTGCGGCGCCCTTCACCCCCGCCGCGCGTGCATCTCTCTCTTCCTCTAGCCTGAACCCTTGATCGAGGACGGGTACAACGTAGGAGGCGCACCTAGACCGGAGACAAGGCAGGAGGCGCAGCCGGCTGCGCGGATTCCAGCCAGGGGCGCGGTCGGCGGAGCAGCATCCATCTAGGGGCGCGGCCAGCGCCGCCGCCTCCAGTCATGGGTCGAGCAGCCTCGCCGACTCCTCTCCCCACGCGCGACTCATCCTCTCCCCCATGCGGCGGGGCGAGACCAGATGGCGGCGGCTGGACAGCCGGGCGGCCTTGCAGCAGCCGGGACCGGGAAGCATGACGCCAACGACGGCTTCCAAGGCGACGCGAGCAGGGGCGAGGTAGGCGGCCACGAGGAGGAGGCAGGGCCGGCCGGCTCCGGGAGGAATGGCGTCGGTCGCGCGGTGCCCGCGAGCCTGGAGGGCCGTGCGCGTGCCGGTCGTTAGTCGTCCTGGCCGAGCTACGGACGGGCCACCAGTCGCGAGCGCCGCTGAGCCACCGTGCGCAGGCGCCGCCGGATCCGCAATCGCAAGCACCGCTGTCCAGTCACGGGCGCCGCCAAGCAGGCACAGGCACCGCGGGCCCCCACATGCGGTAGAGCAAGGAGCTGTCGCTCCAAAGGTCACCCTTCTGCTTCTGTTTCAGTGAACTTTAGCTCGTGTAAATTTCGTCTATTCTGTGATTATGCTCCCAGCGTCTTCTGGTTTAGTCGTCTCAGCTATGAAGGATTGCGTATTTCTGAAATTGGCAATACAAGCAGGATGGAATTATTCCCTAATCTACGTTTTTCTGATTTCTGAAATTGGCAATACAAGCAGGATGGAATTGTTCCCTAAAAGTTAAAGCGATATCACCTTCTCTTTATATCATTCCATTCTATTAATCGTGATATCTTCAGTGGGTTGATGCATTGGTTGAAGTGAGGCCAAGCTTACTTTCAGGTGAAGCAGAGAAATTCTTTTTTGAGGACATATATCAGGTGCGATGGCAGTGAATGCTCGATTCCCTTTCCGACATAGCTGTTTTTTTATTGTCAATATAAAATGTGGTATGCCTGCATTCTGCATTGGAACAAGATTCATTAACCATGTGATGTGCCACGAACTGTATCTATTCAGTGGATAATTTAGCATTAAACAACAACCTCTGTTGAATGTTTTTTTTTTCTGTATGTACAATTTTACACAAAAAGGGATCGGATAATTTGGTTCTTTAGCTGTCTGCGGGAAAGCAATTCGTGCAGCCGTGTGATGATTCTCCCCGAGGGGAACAATGTGGACCACTTCTCAAGTTTTTTCTTAATTGCCAGATTGCTGGATCACATTGGGGTGGTGAAACATGGCATTCCTTCTTTCATGGTCCACAATCCAGTATGTGTCCAGAATATATTGCAACTGCAATAAGGGAAGTGCTAGCCTACTCTTGCCTACTTCCTTTCTTTGGTAGTATGTAAGCAAAGGAGACTATTAAAAACGTTAGATTTTATATCGTTTCATTCTTCTAATTCTTTATTTTGACTAACTGATTGAGTCTATTTCTACATATTAGGTAATCGATGATAGTGAAGAAGGCCCTTCAGCTGTATGATTTTGATTTCAAGGTTGTAACTTGTCAATACTTTAGCCTGTTTTGATTTTGATTGTGGAAGAAGGCCGATGATATGTGCACACCAACCCTGCTCCCTCTTCCTGTACAGATGTGAGGTGAGAAATTTCTTTCAGCACCATGCAGATCCACTTGGTTCGCCTTTTTCTTTCCAAAATTTCACATGCTAATTTGTTCCTGCAGTAAACGAATCTCATAGAAAGATGAAGGCGTATACAAGAGGACAAGTATTATTGCTTTTCTTTTGTTCATGACACCAGGCTTAGTAGATTTCAGCCATGGCGGCACACCGGCGCTTGTGGGCTCCACGGCCGAGTGGTTTGATGCAGGAGGCTGGTTCCACGGCAGAGTTCCCCAACGTCGCTGGCCTCCACGCTTTCTCTGGCTGTGAGATCCACTCTCTACCTCCCTCTCTACGTTGGGTCTAGCATTTCACCCAATTTGAGCAGGTAGCAATTGCAGGCAGTCATGTTTAAATTAATCGTGTTTTGCTTTTGCGTGCAACGTAGGTGTTCGATGATATTCCACTGAGAAGAGGAGTTCCAGTCCTATCTACATCTTGGAGGTATGTGATTTAGAATTGGGTCAGATGCTTGCCTGCAGTTGATTTTTGTGTAGGTAAGTAGAAATTCAGACCCGAATGTTTTTGCCTTGCTATATGTGGTATCTTTTTTTGCTATATGTTTTTCTTCTGTTGATTAAACTTGGAGCAGTTCGATCGTGATATCCACTAAAGCAAACTCTTCATGATTCAAATTAAGAATTACCTGTCGATATTTTTTAAGGAATACTGTTCATGACTCTGTATGCAGTTTTATTCAAAGATGGAAAATTCAAAGTTATATTTTTTAAGACTTACCTTGAATTTGGAAAATTCAAAGTTAGATGTAATTTTTTCTATCATGTTTAAGCAGGCACTGTCTACTCCTACAATTGCTGTTGTCAAAGGGGTTGTTTTCGGTGGCAGGTTAGAATTGGCTCTGTCATGTGATCTTCGCATATGTGGTAGTGATTCCAATCTGCATCCATCTTACGCTTAGGGGAAAAGCTTTTGCTTATTTCTTTGACCAAATGAATGCATTTTTTTTCTTTTCAAAATAATGTCAGTTGAGGATGCAAAATTCAGTTTGCCAGACTGGCCTTGCTATTATTCTGGGGTATGTCACCAAGTCTATTCTTTAGTTTGTTAGTTCTTTTTTTTATACATACTGCTGATGTTTTCTCTCAAATAAAGTTGGAACTGCGGTAGCCGTGTGAATTTAATTATAACTACAAGTCAAACCTTTTCCTGCTATACAATTTTCTTGCCTTAATGCATGCATTCCACCCTTCATAACAATGTTAAAAATTTGTTTGGATCGTTGTATGTTTTGTATGCCTGTTGCCCTGTAAATTATTGTTAACCAATTAGGAAAATGATAACATGCTGTCTAATCTGTTTAGTGGTAATTTTTCTCTGATAAAAACGAATTGGATGCAAATGGGACTCATGTTACTTACTGCAGGGAGGAAGGATGCTGTGGAGAGCACCATGAATGCTTACAAAGCTGCTAAGGTTTGATCTTTGTGTACATGTTGATAGGTTCACCGCGCTTATCTTGTTAATTGTGATTCATTATTGTTGATTTTTTGTTTGTAGGATATTGCTCTTGCTGATCTGGCTCCAACCCACCCGATCAGGCTTGGGCTGGCCCTCAACTTCTCAGTGTTCTACTATGAGATCCTGAACTCCCCTGATCGTGCTTGCAACCTTGCAAAACAGGTTTGCTGCTTCTTCCTCGATCTCCCTTTGTGATTTATTTTCTGTTTGAGACATGATGTGTCCTAGATTGTATAGCTCGACAACTGGCTGAGTGCATAGGCTGCTTCTGGCTGCAGATACTTATGTAGGGTTTGATTTGTTAAATAAAAGAATAGTGCAGAGGAAATATTTCACTTGTAGCTGATGATATATGATGCCATGGATTCATAAATTTGAGAGAAGCTCTAAATGGTGACACTATGGATCTGAGAGAAGCTCTAAATTTGAGAGAAGCTCAAAAAAATGTATGGTTCTAAATTTGAACTTTGGGTGCTACATAAGAGCAATTTTTTTTTGATGCTAGATGTTGGACCTGTTTTAGAAGGATTGTATCGTGCTGTTACACTAAGTATCTTTAATATGCCTTTCTTCCTATTACGACATGTCTCTCTTGTTGTTTCGTGATGGACCAGGTCTGTGTTCAGGTTGGAGTAGGGTTGATGGTCCTTCAACATTTTGGGGGTGTGAATGCCATTTGCTTTTATGCCAGTGAAATATGTTTCAGCTGGTAATGTAGAATGACTTATTTCCTTAGCTCGCATAAACTTGTTTTGGCCCTGACAAGAGGTATTTTACAATGGATCACCCTCGAATACTATACTAATTACTAAGTTCTCATGCTACAAATCAGGTTTCTCATCAGTAAATATAGGAATGCTCTCTATGGTCAGCACCACACATGCATTGTTTTGTTCTTTTACTGAAAGTGGAGGCTGTTCTCTGCCGAGCAACTTGAGGTAGTCTTCACTGCAAGGTTGTCATTATCAAGTTTCATCGACAGTGGCAAGGCGCCTCAGTGACATCTTCACTATCAGATTCGGAATCAGAGGAAGCGTAGAGCTGTTCATATGATTATAATGTGTATATATAAATTTTGGATTAGTGTGTATATATAAATTTCAAGTTTCATCAACAGTGCCAAGCCTGACTTTTTGATTAATGTGTATATATAAAATTCAAGTTTTCATGTGTATCCTTGAAATGACGTCGTGGCGTTAGCACAGGCACTATACTAGTTATTATTAGTTGCCACTTGTCAGGTTAGGAAAAAACAAAAAGAGAAGCATGGCTGTCGTCGCCATCATCGTCACAACGGACACCAGCAGTGTCAACTGCCAATCCAATGCCATAGCATCGTGATCAGCCAGCTGAACAATGTCGTAACCTTGGTAAAAAACTTGATTGAAACTAAGGCTTATTGGATGTAAGCAAATAATATCGAAATTGATGGTATAAAGGGTTTATTTGATCTCTTGTGATGATTGAACATACCCATAAGATCAGCCTTTATGACTTTCCAAAACACTTGTTAAAGTTTAGTATGGACCCATCTAGTCCTGATGCTTTATTGTGTTCTATACATATTGAAAGTGGCACCCTTAACCTCCGCTTCTATGTGGGTATAATTGTCCACACCGCAAACTTATTGAATGTCATCCACTCTATTCTCCTGCAAAGAAAATTTTGTTTATCTCACAATGGCCAATGAAATTTTGGTATTAAGAAGAAATGTGCTCTAGCCTTTAATAACTTAGCCTAGTCATGTAAAATCTTGCTATTTCCTTCTTATTGGAAAATATGTGTTTTCATATATGCTTACCACAAATCACGGGCAATAAGTTGGAATAGACATAATCTTTCGTATTAACGCCAATAGAATATTAGGTGATGGCGTAGGAGGTCGCCTGCTGGGTTCTAAGGTATCAAGCAAATGGTCAGCTTTGTTCACCGTGCTGTTGAACCACTGGCGGACAAAAACGATTAAGGGAGGCGGGCGACGCAACCGTCTTCAATTAAAGGCCTCGGTAAATCATGAACTACCGAGGTGGCACTGTTCGCCTAAACAGTCGTTTAGGCCGTTCACACACCGTTTAAACACTACACGGTGGTACACCATCTCTGTTCAATTGATTGCTTTGAATGTTTAAACACCCGTTTTGCCTGAATAATGGACAAACGGCAGGTGACCGACTGCTTACCGTTTAGCGTTTAGGATAACTTGATATGTGTTGACGGTAGTTAACGTTCATCATAAATCGTCAATATAACTTATATAAATGCATAAAAAAGTATCATCAACATAGGTCTAGGGGTTTAAACTAATAAATTCAATAAGTTTTAATGAATCTGTGTTTGTAGGAGGATTTAATCAACAAACCGTCAGGGTGGACCCAAACGTCAGATTTAATCGTAATTATCCGCGGCGAAAACAACTCCAGAAGACTTTAGAAGACTCCAGAAGGCAAACCACCGAAGCAGAGGGTAGGTGGCTGCGGCCCCACCTACAGGTCGGCTAGCCTGTGGGCCCCACTTGTCAGCCCCTTCTTCAAATGTTGATTCTCCACCGCCTCCTAGATTGCATCTTCGTCGTTCTTTCAAGTCGGTTTGATCCGAGGGTCCAGAATTGATGCCACCCCCTATATATAATAGCCCCTACCTCCCTCATTGGAGCCATCCTAAAACCCTAATTCATATCTCTCATTCACATCAACATACACCAGTAGGATTAGGTCTAGAGCTCTCCAATGTAGTAGATTAGTAGCTCAGGAGTGAGGGTCGAGTTGAGCTCTTGCTCGGTTCCGGATCCAGTCTCGGAGGCTCGGTAAAGCCATTGTATCTTCAATTATTTATCTTATGAGACTTTGTTATCATTATATCATTCTTATCTACATGGCTATACTTACTTTAAATATGAATCTTACTTAGTTAAGCTTTACTTTTGTGTGTGGGTTCATAGAGCGCTTAGCCTGCTATAGTTTATCGATTGGACTAAGTAGCCGAGCCTCATGTAAGCATGGTGCTTACACGATGCTCTGCCTGTGAGTACACCCTGTTCTCTGGTTGTGTGGTAGCAGCGGGTGCTGACAGTCCCGTTTATCCTTTGTAGTCCACGCCAAATTACACAGATTCTTAAATTGTAGGACCATAGTCACGTCAGTAGAGTTATCTATTGTGGATGCTCTACCGTCTAAGCGGCATCCCAAAGTGCACAAAGTAGAGTTAGTTTTAGCTATAGTTGGATGTATATATATTTTGACCATGTAATAAGAATGTCATAGAAATCTATCTCACATGTTGTTCTCCCGAGTTGACTAGTTTACATTATCTTCTAGATTTATCACCTGAGTGTCATTAAGTATTACTCCTTTCATTCCATTTATCCTCTGCTCTAGCTATGTTGATATGTTAACAGATACTCCTTTGTTACCCAATAAATCTTTACTCTATTGTTTTCCTGTGGTAAAATATAAATAACGATACCTGAAATATTCCAAGTAAAATTCTACAACGGTATTCTGTGCGCTTACGTGATCCTTCATATTCTATTTGCGTTAATAAATACCAATAAGCATTTTTGGCGCCGTTGCCGTGGAAACAATTGGCGTAAAGATTTAGATCATTAACATACCACTAGCTTTAGTAGGATTACCCCTGTTCTATTGAATTGTGGAATAAGACAGGACATCAGACGCCATTTCGACCTTTCGGCAAGCTTCCACAAGAAAAGAAGAAAGACATTAAAGAATCCAGGGTGCCTGAACATTCAAGATCCATCAACACTTGTCACAGGTTTGTGTGTGTGTGTATATATATATATATATATATATATATATATATATATATATATATATATATATATATATATATATATATATATATATATATATATATATATAACTCCTTACTAAGTGATTTACTGATCATAGAATAACTTATTCTATAGCCACCTTGATTTACGATAATGTTTGTACCAATTTACGATAACATGAATATGCATTTACGATACTCGTGTTACTACAACTCACGATGATATTTACCGTAATGTTATAGTAAATCACTTAGTAAGGAGTTACTATAATCTCGCAAATTAGAATAGTAATTATTGTAACTCAAAGTGACCACAGAATAAGTTATTCTATGGCCGGCTGCAGAACAGTAGTTATATATATATATCTATATTATATAACAATTTTAATTATTTGATTGGCCCAATTTATACGTCTGCAAGTTGAACTTGCATTGTGAATCAACAAGGAATGGAAACATACACTTTATACAATGCAAAATGCATTGTCGCTACTATAGAATTTACATTAATCTAACAACAAAAAAACATCAACTCAATATATGTTGATTAATGAAAAATGCGAGCTACTATTTGAAGTATCTATAAGGCTTATGATGGATATTCACAATTATAACAAATGTCATTTGGCATAACTTCTATTTGCCCCATATCTTCAGAAAGTCCTCAAGTAGGATTGTTCAAATGAACTCCGTTAATTTCCTCCATGATTTACAGTTGTGGATTGTCAGATTCTTCTGTACCATCATCATCATACCAAGATCGTAAGTTGATTAGTATGAGACTAATATTTTATATACCATCATTCCGCCTAGGCTTCAATGACTCCCGTCCAGGCATTCCTAACAAACATCAAAAGATATATATATATATATACACACACACACACACACATTTGAGGCATGATAAAAAAGGAAAATAAAATTATCTAGCATGTAAATCCTTGATACCATATACTGATTCTAGAAGCCACGCACTTGATAAACTTGATGGTCACACCTTATTCTGCTCACGTGTTTTTCTTAAAAAATGAAGTAAAAATCTTAGCAGGTTAAAAGAATGAATAAGTTAAGTAATGTACATTCTGAATATGTTGCAGATTGAATGCGTTTTTGTCAATCTATGAATTTGACAACATAAATGGCGTCTTTGTCAGTGAAGAGAGAAAACAAAAGATCATGCATAAATCTACAGCCCATTTGTTTCATAGTGCTAAACATATTGCATACATTTTTGCTTATATGGGTAGATTGAATGCAAACTTAGGAGCTGCTTTGCATTATCATTCATAATGACAGAGGTAGTAAATTTAGATTCAAAGTTGGAGGTTTATTTGAATTATCTTCATACTCAAAACATGGGTAATTTAGATGCAATGTTAGGGTGAGTTATTTTGAATTATCGTTAATAATGGCAAAGGTGGAGAATTTAGATGCAAATATAGGGTGTTGTTTTGAATTAATTTTTATACTAGGAGATGTGGCTAATTTATATACAAACTTA